AGCGCCTGTTAGTTAGCTGAGCTGGGGAGGGAAGTGGGCAGAGGCTGCAATTCTCAATCCTGCCACGAGAGGCCAGTGTTGCACAGAGGGGGAGGGGGAGGGATGTGCGCGGGCAGGAACGACAACGACCACGACCAACGTCTGGAAGGAGACAGAGACGGAGAGGGCACGAAACACAAAATACTCCTGCTTCCTGTCGTTCTCAAGTCCCAATGCATCCTGCATGCACAGGCCGGAGGAGAGCAAACAGAGGAGACAGCTTACTTGGAAGAAGATTTCACACATTTGAATTTTTTACCTGTCAGGAGAAAAGACAAGGGCTGCAGGTTAGGGCTCACAGGGAAGGGTGGGGGAATGAGGGTGCGAAGCCAGCGGGGTGGAGGGCACCTCAGAAAAGACCGAGGGACGACGTGACCTCCAGAGGAAAGGGGGAGCTCCAGTCTGTGTCCAGACTTCTCTCGGCTGTTTCTCTGCTCGGACACAGGCAGTTCCAGCTCTGCAGCTGGCTGCATACTTGAGTGGGGTTCAAAAGTAACCAGGACTGCTTTGATCCCAGGTATTAACACTGAGAGCCACCAATGAACTAGAAGGTTAAAGCTTGGCATCAGTGTGGAGGAAATTGTCATTTGTTTCCAGGCTCAGCTGTGCAATATGTGCGTGAGATGGGACCCCATTGTGTCTTGTGTGGTGTTGGGGGAACACTTGAGCCCCTGGAGTCCAACAGCTTCTGGATTTTGTTCCACCCGAACTCTGTTACACAGTGGGTCTAATTATTTAAGTAATGGCATAACTATAATATTTCACTCCAGGAACTGAACTGCTTTATACAGTAGGTCCTGTAACTGTATTTAAATTGAGTGAATGATTTGAGGTACCAACTGTTAAAGAGCTTAAGGAACATCCTATTTGTTTCTTCACAAAATAACGAAATTAATTGTTTAACTGGTAACTCAGTTGTGAAAGAGCTTAAGGAACATCCTATTTGTTTCTTCACAAAATAACGAAATCAATTGTTTAACTGGTTTTGTTGGCTTTAGATCATTATCAGTTTAATTATCTTTAATTGCATTAGGTGTGTCAAGTGGGCTCCTCTCGGCTGTAATGACTCTTGTATTATTATAGTCTGACTTTAGCACTTATTCTCAGGGGTTAAGATGACGTGTCTGCCATTCCAGTAAGAGGGGTGAAGAGTAGGAGAAGTGGCCAGCAGAGGGCGCTGTACTCACACAGGGCAATGAGGATCCCGGCCACAAACATGATGACAGCCAGAATCACCCCTGTGGTCCTCAGGGTATCATAATCTGTGGATAAACAAGAAGGATCATGAATAATTGTCTCAAACTGGACAGCCTTCGCCAGCCTTCGCCAGCCTGTGAAGCCTGCAGGACTGCTGAGTCTGTATTACACCTCTATACTTAACAGAAATATGTGATTATTCATCAAGGGGCGGCACTGGAGCGCAGTGTTCAGCATTGCTGGCTCTCTGTGACTCTGAGTTGAAATGAGTGGAGTTTGCATGTTCTCCCTGAGTGTGTGTGGGTTTGTGCTCTGGTTTCCTCCCACAGTCCAGATACATGCTGACCAACAACACAGATACAACAGATAGAACACAGATACAGTACATCTACAGCTACAACACAGATGCATCTACACATACAACACAGCTACAACACAGATGCATCTACAGATACAACACAGATTCACCTACCGTATTCGAAATCACTCTGTGGCAGGTGAGGCTCTGCAAGACAGAGGAGAGAGCAAATCAGCACAATCAGAGGAGACGCATGAGACAAGCTGCAGTAAACCTGCAGAAATACCAAACACATCTGCCACTGGGAGCGTTCGCCTGGGCAGCGTGTTAGGAGTGACCACTGCACTCAGACACATTTCGTAAAAAAAAAACCTCATAACCCAGTGGAAAGTTCCTCCTTTCATCCTTGAGCCCCTCAGAACAGGAGGCACTTCTTTACACGCAGGGTGGTGGGAGTGTGGAACAAGCTGTCCAGTCATATTGTTAAAGCTGATACTCTGGCGCCTTTCAAGAAACTACAGGATGATATTCTCCAGTCATAGTTACTAAAGAGCATCTAATAGGCTAGACAGGCTCCTCTAATCTGTAACCTTTCTAAAGTTCCTGCGTTCTAATATGTCGTTAATCATTAGCACAGATCTGGGCCATGTCCTCCCTTCCGCACGCAGGGCGTTAATTATGCAGGAGGTTTTTGATCGCCCTGTGGGCTCCACTGCTAAAGCCAGCTGGCAGTCGCTGGGATCAATCCTCCACGCTCGTCCAACACCCAGGTGAATTCATGAGGAATAATTACCGCCTGGAATCTGCATCTCCTCTCACTGCTGTTTCTCTCTGCATGGAGGATTATTTTTAGCTCAGGTTTCAGTCTCCTGGCTGCTTTCCTGAGCCTGGGGTGTCACACACAGCTCCTGGGATGCCTGGTTTTCCTCTCAGCCTGACTTGTCGTGTAGATGTTCTAGTTGTCTGCAATTTCCCTCATGGGATCAATAAAAAAAAATCAATCTAGATCAATAATTACCGGATCAGATTTTTTCACTGAGACAGGTATAGGATGTGTCTGAAGAGCTTTCGCTGATGAGAACTCAAAGCGTCACTTTGTTGTGAATTGAGAGAAGCAGTTAGAGAAAGGATGGATCAGCAGTCTGGTATTCTGAGCACCTAGACAGCCTGTCGATGGTCCAGGCAGATTCAAGACACCAAGACCAGCTGCTCAGCTGGAAATCGAGATACTGGCACGACAGCAAGGCAATGGAGAAGCTATGCTGGCGCCAGGTGTGGCTTGCAGATTGAACCTAGTAAAAAAAAATCAGCAGTGTGCAGGGCCTGCTGTCCACGCTGCGCGCTGCTCGCTGCGCCTCGGCTTCTATGGGCGGCTCACGGCTGCCACCTGGCGGCGCCGCCGCGTCACTGCGCCCGGTCCGAGCACACTGCGGACCTGCCTCGCGCGCGCTGGGAGCACGGGGATCCTGCCACACGAGCGCGTGCGGTGGTGACAAGTGCACCGCGGACCCGAGCGAGCGGCCAGCCGGCTGGTGCACCCGCAGCTGGGCGTGAGGCGAAGGGGTTTCCGTCTCCTCCGCCGCCTGCCGGGAGACTCCCAGCCTCCCCGTGATTGATCGCAGCTGAACTGCTGGGCTATGCGGAAAAGCTTCCCTCAGCGAAAACCGGGAGAGGGGGGAGGGAGGAGTCCCCACTCAGAGCGCACTGGGATTATTGAACGACTCAGGTGCATGATGATAATAATAATCTGCTGTGAAGGAACGCGCGATCAGCACACTAAGCGTCTCCACTATATGAATATGTGTATATCTAGATATTCAATTAGCAATTAATTAATTGCTCAGAATTCCTTGTTCATCATCATCATTAGCACATCTGATTCTAATCCGGCAGTTCACGAGCCGAGTCAGTGAACCTGCAGCCAGTCTGCATCCTCCGCCCGGACCCACGGTTCCGGTCCAGGACCCGGTTCCGAGCTCCACGCTGATCCTGCGGAACCGAGGCGCCCAGACCGCAGTTTTCAACACAGCGTGAGCCCAGATCCCCCCCAAAAAAAAGAAACACCCCAAACCTGTTAGGATCCCTGTTTCTAGATGACAGGGGAACGGTTTTATAGGAATCTGCAGACATCCTCCGCGAATACACAACATCCACTGAAACACCGTTAAAAAGTGCGGAGACGCGCCAGAGAAACTCTTCTCCGCACCGCCCGGGAATCTCGGAAAGTCTGCAGCTCAAGAACCGAGCGCAGCGCGTTAGTCTAGAGAAGGGGGATCCGCACAGAGCCCGCGGGTCCACAGGCTGCTGCAGGAGCGCAGGAAGGCTCTTACCTCTTGTTGAAGACATGATGGCTGCAGTGTGCGGGAGCCGGTGCTTCGCTGCTCAGATCTCTCTCTCTCTGCAGGGGTTGCGCGAGCGTGCTTGAAAGCCCTCAAAAAATTCTGCAGTTTTTTTTTTTAATGAAGCTCGGCTCGGGGGCCCCCTGCCGGCCAGCGGGCGCCACTGTCTCGCAGCGCCTCCCCGGGCCCCGGGGGAATCCGGCGGGGACACCGCGGGCAGCCCGGCCGTGTCGCGGCAGCTGCTCTGCAGGAGCGAGCGAGCGGGAGAGACTGCAGCCGGGGATCCTCGCGCTCTCCACTGCGGCACGAGAGGCGCGCTGGCTGCCCAGCAACAGGGCTCGCGCGCCGCGTGGTTATCTGTGTGTGTGTGCGTCTGTGTGCGAGTGTGTGTCTGTGTGTGTCTCTGCGCGAGTATGCGTCTCTGTGCATGTGTGTAGTGTGATTGTTTAGTACAAGTGTGCGAGTGTGTCAGACTGTGTGTAGTGTGTGATACCTGTGTGTTTGTCAGAATGTGCGTCTGTAGTGTGTGATTGTGTAGTTATCAGTGTGTCGGGGGTGTGTGGTTGTATTAGTTACCTATGGAACAGAGACACAGACTGATGACAGTTTGGAAAGTAGGGCTGCTACAAAATTGACATTTTTTAGGATGCAAAGGCCTATTCATTCTTGACAAAGACCAGCTCTATGGTGGGTTATTGCAGACACAGAAAGATGACCTACTTTATCAAGTGTGCTGCTGAGGTTTCAGCAGTGGGCCGTGGACAGGCGCTGTTACACCTGTACACTCTGCGCTGTGTGCAACCAGCGTCATACTCATGTCTGACCAGCAGGGGGCTCTGCGACACGGTTCCACCCATTGTGAAATAAGATAGACCTCAAGAAAGCCCAAACCGAACCCAGTGGAAAGTGCGTAGGAGAACAGAAGGAAGACAGGCAGCAGTATCTCTCAATACAGAGAATCGAACACAGGAACGCCGAGATTATTTTAGCACTTTATTTATCCTTCGCTGGGACGGGTGGAGATAGACGGACCGGAAGGGGGTGCTCTCGGGCTGGAGTCGCTCCTCGGACAGGACGGACAGGGCGGAGAGGAGACAAGGCGGGGCGAGCAGAAGCAGAGGAAGTCGGGTCCGGGTGGCGAACGGGCTTCCTGCGGGGGGCCAGCGGACGTCCGCGCGCCGGGGACGGCATCACTGACTGGCATCTCGGCGGGCACCTGGAGGGCACGAGCACGGCTGAGGGCGAGAACGAGGGAGCCCCTGCCCGCGCTGCGAACCCAGGCGGCTCTCGGGGTCATCGCGCGACCTCATGCCAGCTCCTTAGCCTGCCGTGCTGAAGACCCCCACACCCCAGCTAGTGCAGCTAAGAGCGGGTCAGACGGGCCATTGGGCTTATCTGGCCCGAAACCAGAAGGTTCTGATCGATAAATAGGACCCAGGGAAGCAGAACTTACAAAGCATCAGCAACCTCCCTCGACAAAGTACCCATCCATCCACTTCATAACTGATTCATCCAGTCTGGGGTCCAGGGGAGCTGGAGTCTGTCTCAGCAAGCAATCAGGCACAAGGCAGGGTACACCCTGGACAGGACACCAGTCCATCACAGGGCACACAAAGACACACACACCCTGGACAGGACACCAGTCCATCACAGGGCACACACAGAC